CAATAGTGGTAGACCTTTGCCCGTAGTATATATCAAAAGCGGATTAAAAAAAATTTTAATCAATATTTTCCTTGATTAACAATTATAGTACGAAGTAATTTTTGGATAATATAAGGTAGATTAATCTAAAATACTGAAGATTTCTTATTTTTCGCGATTAATAATTATCGCGAACTGGCTCTTTAACGTCAAATCGGGGGGATAATATCTCGCAAATGGACGGTTATTAAATAGAATTTACATGAATTTCAACACCATAAAAATAAAATCGAGTAATATTATTTCGCAAGTGATGCTTCCTGCGAAATAACACAGAAATTAATTCCTCGGGTAAAATTAGGAATATACAGTAACTTGCAATCTTTCGGATGGACTTCAAAAATAGTTATACAAATTTATTCGATCGTTATTCTTTTTTAATGTAGTAATCTTCAGTCATATGAAATTCTCTTTCCTTTATTTAATTTTTTAACGACTTTTTTCGTTTGTTTGTTTGTTTGTTTTGGTTGAGTCTTTCTAAAATTGATCTTTTTTAAGATTGGAGGGTATTACACAAATATCGTTAATAATGTTTTTTACTGTTGTCTTTTCCAAATTTCGAATAACAAAAGATTTTTTCTTACTCTTCAACACTTATTAATGCTATGAAAGAAGCGGAATTAAAGAGTATTGTCCTTTGAAAAACATACATAAGTTGTCAAAATAAATTTAGATAAGTGGTAACAGTTTGTGGACTGTAGTGTTATTATATGATATTATTCCATAATCTCCTTAGTCCTTTTGCATCCTTCTTGTGTTTGGCGTGTTTGTTTATTGTCACATGTTGTATAATAGGGCGCTATGATTGCACTCACCACCACATCAACTTGTTTTTGCATCACTTACAAAATAAATGGCATTATTCATTCTTATATAATTGTTATATTTTCCCCCGAAACTGAAAAAAACAGTCTCCTTGAACAAATTATATAAACAAAGAAACATAGATATGTACATGTGAAACGCAACCCGTCCTGATTCCTGTTACAAAGTGAGACAAACCACAAAATGTGTTCTTTGTATCAGAAGTTAAATCTGTCTTATTCTTTTCAGATGGAAAAATTTACGATCTGATTTTATACAATGAAGGATATGAAGAAAACGAAAAGTATTCAATATCAAAGTTCATATAACATTACATATAAGGAGCCGGGCAAACACATACTTCCAATACATTATAGGTAGGATCAGGTGCCATGGAGGAGTAAGCGTCCCCTGCCAAACGGTCACCACCCCCGTGTGCTCCTCGTCATGATTAAGAAATAACGGGAAAATCCGTACGTCTATTTGGTGTATAAATAATGGACTAGCAATTAATATGAAAAATATCAGACTTAATGACAAAACTTGGAAAATTCTGAAAAAGATACTTTTTTTACCCATAACCCAAACCTTATCCCTAAGGATTTAATTTTAGAAATATGCAAACATTATTGTCTGGTGTACGTTGTTGAAACTTTGAAGGTTGAGTTCTTGTATTATGTTTCTCTTGTCATGATAATACCAACATGCCAGGACTGTATCACTTTGACACTGTCCCTATCGTTATTATAAGTATCTTAAGTTAGTAGGGTGATATGTTTTCATAACTAATGTTCTCTACAAATGCGAATGGGCAAACCAACAAAGTCTCAACTTACACATTATGTTTTCAAACATTTTCTCGAAAAAAGGCATAGAACCCTTATCTGTTTTTCACATACATGCAGGCAATCAAAATAGAAATTCAATAAGACTTTTTTTCCTTTGACTTAATTTGTGATTTTTTGAAAAGTAGTTTAATTATTTTGCTTGCTTTCTTGGTTTTAATAAGCCCTGACAAACGGTACGCTTTCTCTATTTTAAATACAGTCATATTCCATTTCTAGTAAAAATAACAAATAAAAAAAAATCGTTTCTTAAAATAAATAATATAAGGCTTTTGACAAAAGAATATATCAAAAGCTGGTTGTCAATAAAAATTTCATATCGTTTTTTTTTTCGTTGATTTACATATAATATATTATTAGATTCGATATGATTGATAAACGTTGAAATTATCTTCTTAAGCAATTTAAATAAATGCTAAATGTATGCTTATTTGTCCTTTATTTTACATTTGGTTATATACAAAATCAAACGCTGAATTTTTAATAATCTTTCTGTCAAAGGACGATGTCTTTTCTTTACCTTAGTTTTTCATCGACTTTTACTTTCTTGTTTCTTTGTATTGATTTTTTTTTGTTTGTTTCAAGTCGATCTTATATCAAGATGGGATGGTCTTCAACTAAAAAAAAAATTCTCCACTTCCTTCATTAGATCCATTTCTGACCATTTAGCACTTAAAGTTGTACTTTCCAACATTTCTATGAAAAAGTAAAATTAAAAAGATAGATAAAGTTTTTATGAATAAGATATATAAATATGTAGAACTAAATCAAGAGACTGTACACAACTCTTCATGTGCCTTTAAATCATAGCGTTCAGAAATATTAACAAACCAGAAGCAAATTAAATAAAACCGTTTGAAGCTCGACTTTTAAAAATTAGGTTTCTATTCCATTCAATATCTATATCTCTTTATCAAAGAAATTTACTGTAAAATCGCATATTTCCTTGATGTCTAGTGTTCCTTGGTTGAGAAAATAAAAATGCACAAGTACGTTAAGGCTAAAAATTGGCGTTCCTAGGCAAATAAGTTAATAAAAATGCATAAGTTGTACATTTTATACGCAGAGATAGTTAAAACCGATTGTCTTACTCATACTAAGTATCGACAGCAGTTATAGCTAGTACACATTCTGGCGTCCTATTATGACGTGTTTATACTTACCCATTTAAGGCAACTGAACACATGTACAAAAATGACGCAATGACATATCCTTATCATTTTCAAATAAATATATTATATTAGGGAGAATATTTTAAAAATTAATAAAATTGCTTTACAAATTCCCTTCACTTTCTCAATCGATATAAATTTAAGGTAACTTACACTGGATTGTGAAATTTCAACCTGTTCATTCAAACTGTAAGAAAGGTAACTAAACACTTTCAATGTCAGCATATGTTCAGCGATATCTTACATCTTTAATACCTTAAATATTCTGCGTCTATTGATACCTTGTTATTAAAGGACAAAGTTAGTTATGCCTTTGCACCAAAGTGATTTTTTTGATGTTCCCAATAGATTTGTTTAGTAGAGGTTGATGACCTCAAAATATGACAATATAATGTGCACTTGCTATTGCATGATGTGAATACCACGAATGTTTTAGAAAACTAGAGGTTCTGTGAACAATGAACTCACTAAATGATACCCCCGCCTCCCATATGGTTATAACTGATGACAAAGTCCATGATTTTCTGTGGCAGGGAAATCCAAATAATGTGTCCGAACAAAAAGTAAAATAGGAGGTTCACAATGACAATATGTAATAAAGATTCTTTGATTCAGTGATTACGAAGAATAATGATCTTTTTTTTTTTGCAAATAGGAAAGAGGTTCTTAATAATTGTATTCAAAATCAAAGTGAAAACATTTTTCTTAAAACTGTTAAATGATGTAACAAAAACAAAAGGTATCATAAAATATATTGAAAACCGCATATATGTGTTCACCTCTATTTGTGAACTTGTTGAAAGCTGATGATAATTACAAAATATGTTTAGAATAAGTGCGGGGATTTAGCACCTGCCCCTTCCCCGATATATAATATATTTTCATAAACTTTTAAACACTTATAAACTTGTTTGATGTAACCATATATTGCATGATTGAATAATTTCTGCTCGATATTTAATGACATCAAAGGGATGGGATTATTGAATTGTGAAACATATTGAAAATAGGAGCAGATCAAAAACGGACCTCCAAAACATCGGAGGTATGTTCAGTTTCCATGGGGGGGATTGTGAGCCATAGGCGTAGTCACAAGGGGGGGGGGGCAGCGGGGGCACTAGCCCCCCTACTTTCAGATCGGGGGGGGGGGCAAGAGTATGTCTGTGCCCCCCACCACTTTTTTATGAAGAACAAATTCACATTTGAATTTGCTATTTTGAAACTAGAGGTACTGTGAGCAATGAGCTCACTAAATGATACCCCCCGCCTCCCATATCGATATAACTGATGACAAAGCCCATGTTTTGCCGTGGCCGGGAAACCCAAAATATATGTCAGATTCAAAAGTAAAATAGGAGGTGCACAATGGCAATATGTAATAAAGATTCTGTGAAAGTTTCATTAGATTTCACTCAGTGGTTTAAGATGAGTTGCGGATAAGAGATGGGTACCTTAAAGCGTAACAGACGAACGGACGGACAGACAGACGGCTAGACGGACGGACGGACGTACAGACGGACGGAATTAACGATTACTATATACCCTCCCGCTTTTCAAGCGGGGGGTATAATAATATTAAACCTCATCTGATGGCATTTTTATGTTATGTTCAACAAATGGGTAAGCATTTCTCTTGAAGTACAAAGGCAACTTAGCCACATATGATTCTCATATGATTTTCATATGATTGGTTTCATATGAGAATTATAGAAAAAGGGCATCATATGTGAATCATATGAAGCAAATCATATGATTTACATATGATCCACATATGTGAATCATATGAAAATAACTACATATGATTTGCATATGAATGATTTAAGTGTGTTTCAAGCCATTTACATATGACAATTATATGAAAAGGGTATCATGTGTAATTCATATGAAACAGTTATGTGTGTTCTCATTCAATAGTTTTCACATTCTTGTACACATTTAAAAATCAGATATTTCTGCTTTAGATGAAAATTCATTACATTACATGTACAATGATCTATTTTCATTGGTTAAATATTTCAAAATATCTTATAATGCTTACACAACTTTTTTGACAAAATTATTTTCATCAAGAGAAATAACTAATTTTTCACAGTGTACATTCTAAACAAGAAATATACAAACAAGTCGGTGGCTTTTGTCGATACATGTATTTAACATATTCTAAAATGAGTACAAATTATAAGATTTCAGCAAAATGATTAAGTAGTTAAACATGTATACATGTACAAATGAATAAAATAATTAGGTCATGTACTTTTATAAAAATACCGTATGACATGAAAGTGTCCACAGCAAAATTGAAATATCAGTAATAACATTTGTCATGTATTCTCTTTTGTAAATTTATGAAAAATCAAGTTTTTTGATATTCTAGCATACAAATAAAAATGGGAAATCTTTACAGGTCAAATTCAGAAAGGTTGTCTACATCCTCCACATTTCATAATTATTCCATATATTTCCAGTTTCTTTTCCCTTCTTTATCTTTTCAATATTTTCAGTTGTCCTCCCTCTGATCTGACCATTTTGAAAATCTCTTTGAACTGTACCAAAAATGCAAATCCACCAGTTCTCCCCTTCCTGAACAATTTCTTTGTGGCACAGAATGGTCTCTACAAAAATATCAAAAATAAAAATAATTCTTAAATTACAAAATCAATTCTACAAGTTATATTAAAGTAATTTATTCATCAGCAAACAAATGTATTCCCAATTCACTGACACAGATATAACACGAGATAAAACTAATGTTATATATGTTATACTAGGTGTTTTGTGAAATCCTATGATGTAATTTGCAAGACACTGTTGGAAGATTATATGCTTCATAATAAAATTATTAAAAGCATTTTTTTTTATTTTGACAATTGAATTGAATTTTGCAAGACAATTACACTATTGGAAGATATGCTTCATATTAAAATCATAAAAAGCATTTTATTTTCGTCAATTGAATATGGAATGTTCAGATAGTATTATTGCCAAAAATTTAGAAGATTCTGACACAAATATATTACTTTTGGACAAAAAAAATTACAGACAAGTAGATTGGCAGAAAAACAGACTTAGTGATTCCAGGATATCCCAAACTTTGTTGGGAAGAATATAACAAAGTCTGTTAAACAGTGTGTAGTTACCTTAACTTTGACAAGCCTAGGATCTTTGGATTTTTTCTTCTGAGAGGCTGACTGTATATTGAACCTGTATATTGAACCTGTAAAACCAATATTAACACAGTAGATATTTTCTAAGCATAACTAAAGCTTAAACTACAAAAAAGAGAGAGTATACAAGTTTGTAGGTTCTAAATAGTCTTAAATATCTTACATTTTACCTGAAACTAGGTTCTCTATTAGTATTGGAATTTTTTTTTTTATAAATGTCAGTCAATGAATACATAGATGTAAATATTCAATGGATTAGCTATCTGATGTACTTTCAACACATACACATGCATATGTGTACCTTGAAAGTTGCCACTGTTATTATTATACCCCCTGAAGTTATTGTATAGTTTCATAGCTTTTAAAAGCCAGCAGACTCTATTCATACTTACCATATTTTAAAAGTGCATTGGATTAAAATTGTTTCATTATGTAGAATACAACTTCTATATCATTGAGTTGAATTTATTTTTGATGAAGCTAAGCAAACAATGTAGAATTATAAAGGAACAAAAAGAAATTATCAAGAAATATTTTGTCATAAAGGATTCATTACAGATGTACACTGATTTTTAATTGCAAGTATTTATTTTTACCTTGAATATTGTGATGATGCAATCGTCTGTCACAATTTATCAGCTTTGGGCTTCTTGGACTTAATAAAAAAGCAGCACGGTGACACTGAAGTCAAGTTGTTGAAAGCATCTATAGGCCACAAAAACAAACATTTGTCATTATGTTGATGAAAGAATCGACTTGATAACGATCTCAACATACAAAAACGCCAAACTGCTATATATCGTGCCGTCATATGTTTCCGATAGTCATATGTTTCCGATAGTCTATTTTCGTCGCGCGAGTTTTCCCTAAAATGACGTCATATTTCTAATTACTAAGGACACCTGAGGTAGGGAATCTCGCTACATTAATATAAGCAAAAGATAAAAAAAATTCTACATACAAAGGCAAATATCATAAAAACAATGCAATCAGTGATAAAAATACTCATTTTTCTTATTGCCATAAGTTGTAGCTATCAAAATCGCCTGAAAACCCTTTTGATTCGCACTGCAACTAAAGACGCTCATCATCTGATAAAATACACTTCCGGTGACGTATTTTGGTATGTAAATTAATCATGTGACTCTATTAGTTTTTCTATGTATGGAAGCCTTAACCCGTCATAAAATTAGCTGATTCGTGTGAATAACGTCACGTTTTTGTGCTATTTTAGGCAGTAAGAAATAAAGGAAAGCGTTGTAATTCCCCATCAGCCCTTATTTGGGCTATCAGTCAGTGAATCAAGATGGAGTCTATTTGTTTGAAATTATTTTTTTTTAAAAATCATGCAACACATTATCTTCTAAAATTGCAAAAACTGTGAGAAAACCACTGACCATTATATTAAACAGGAACCATAAAGAAGACGTTTATCACACCATCGTCTCAACAACCTGGACCACATCTTTCATCAACCTTATACTGATTCACTAAATATTTCAGTTGATTATATTTTAAACTCAGATGAGGAAGAACATGAACAGCAGATGAGTGAAAATGAGAAGGGTTGTTTCTGTAAGAATTTTTATTTGCAGATGAGTGAAAATTACAAGAGTTGAGTATGTAAGAATTTGTGTGTAAAGTCAGGAAATTTGTATGAAATAAAAATGCTTTTGGTCGTTTGGACCTTGGGTTCATCTCCAGGACTGTTCACCTGTTTGTGCTGTCTGGAAAAACACACCATTTTTAAAATTGTCCATGCTGTGAATAAATGACATCTAATGACATCTACAAAATATAATTGCAATTAAATAACATTTGTGCGCTTAGAGCGAAAATGTTTTTATACATATGTACTCACTGAAACATCTATTTTCCAAGCATTATTATTATCTGGTATTGTATATTAATACAATTAATATAAGTTGTACGTACATGATTAAATATATTTATTATATTTTCGATAGAATAACTTTTCATTTTGATAATTGCCCTAGTTGTTCACCTTACTGCAGTGAAGAACTTTATCGACGAATCACACTATCGGAAACATATGACGCTCCTTTTGATTGGTCAATTACGGTATCCATTTTATTTATAGCTAGAAAATGCATATGATGACGACTTTATGCCAATTTATTGTCGGCGATTTTTAATGCAATGCCTAGCCGGGTTAAAAATCAAAAGAGTTTGAAAATCTTTGACTAAACTTGAAAATAATTAGAACCGCGGTTATTGTTAGACTATCGGAAACCCATGACGCCAGGATAGGGTTTCTACTTTCACTTTTAAATCAGTACGTAACAAAAGTCAAAACAACAAGAAAACAAAGTAATGCCTTTAGCCTATCATGTAAATTGTAATGTTTACATCCATTCAGAAACAAATTTATCCAAAATTACTTACAGATCACTAACGTTATGTAGGTTTACGAAATGCATTAATTTAACAATTACAAGTGTTGAGAGTATTACAGAGATGAGTTCATACGAACCTGTAACCGTAATGAAACGATATTTAAACAATATGAATTAAAGGTCTTTAAAAAATTGTTAGTAGATTACTTACTTTTTCCAACACCCAGCTCTTCTGCTGCAGCAGTGACGTCAAACATGACGTACACATTCATCCGATAGAAGTCAAATCCGGTCCGGGGAAAATACGGATTTTTTTTATTTTACTCAAGTAATAAACCCAAACCCCAAAGATTTGAAATTAAAAGCAAATTAATTTATTCTTTATCAATTTTGTCTGGGATATGCATTATTACAGGAAAAAGAAAATTGTGAAAGTTTTTTTTTTATAAGGGAAAAGGGGGGGGGGGTTGGGGGTCAAACAGAGTAGAACTTAACATAAGTTATTGCAGAGACATATACGTCTCTGGTTATTGCTAACAAATTCTTTTGAAATTGATGTACGTTTAAATTACTATTGATATATATTATTGAAATTGCAATTTTACTTGAGTATACCAAGGGCAAATTAGTGATTACTGTTTCATATGATTCTCATATGATCACGGTGTCATATGATTCTCATATGATCACTGTCAAACTTTTCATATGATTTTTATCTGAGTATAACAAGGGCAAATTAGTGAATATGGTTTCATATGATTCTCATATGATCAGTTTCATATGATTCTCATATGACCACTGCCAAAATATGCATATGATTCTCATATGTAGGGCCTTTCATATGAGAATCAGATGTATATTACTTCATATAATTAACATATGCATGATCATATGATTCTCATATGATTGGCCACATATGATTCTCATATGATTGTATAAACATATGATTCTCATATGATCCACATATGATCTTCATATGAAAGGCAATGCATATGTGGATCATATGTGGCTAAATTGCCTATGTAATATAGTTGTATAATGCGGATCAAAAAATTGGAATTGAAAGTAACTTGCCTTTGAAAAAAAGTTGTCCACAACCCCCCCCCCTCCCCCCCCCAACCACCACACACACACACGAAGTAGGATTTTCGAGTTTGAGGAACTTTCATGTTTGTTTGGTTTTTTTTTCTTGTCAAAGAATTTCTGGACTTGAGCCCCCTCACTTTTAAGTTTGTGATTACGCCTCTGTGGTGAGCATAGCCTGCAGACCGGTTAAACCATTTGTGTACTCCTTGTCATTTTTCGGAAGTAACGAAAAATATTCCGTCGTCTATTCAGTGTTTAAATGATAGACAAACAATCTGAAAACGTCAGTCAGCATTTGATACTAAATCATCGGTTAGATTTTTAACTTCCCTTTTCAGTCTTATATATAAAATTGTGGCTATATTCCAGAAACAATATATTCCAGAAACGCTTTCGTCAAGACACCAACAACAAAGTTAAATCATGGCAATGGTCTGGGCATCGCTCCTTGTGTCTGGCGTCCTGTGTATAAGTTCCCAGTACATTAATGTGAATGAAAAAGACGACTGTGCCAGTCACGGAGAGGTAAAAGAACGAATTAAAGGACTTCTGAAGCAACAAGAAAGGATCCAAAAATCTGTAGATTCTCTCATTCAGATGGTGAATAGACTGGATGAAAATATGACCAGAATCCATAAAGATGTCCAAATCGTCAAGAAAGGTAAATCCTCCCTCCTCAATCTCTCAATTTTGTTTTGTGTATTCACTCATATGATTATTACAATATTATACTTTTCTTTTACATTCAGAATTAATTCTAGATGTAGTGGATTGTCAGGATCTCTTTATCAAAGGATACCAGCAATCTGGACAATATACTGTTTATCCTTGTGGTATTCAGAGCCCCGTTAACGTATATTGTGACATGGTAACAGAACGGGGAGGATGGACGGTAAGATATCCCTCTCTATTTCTCTCTATCTCTTTCTATCTCTCTCTCTCTCTCTCACGACTTTCATTAATAAATCCATATCATTCATAAATCTCTAGGTAATCCAGAAACGAGTCAGTGGGGATATACATTTTGACAGAACATGGGCGGAGTATAAGAATGGATTCGGTCACCCTAATGATTCTTACTGGATTGGTAAAATATCATTTATATCTGATGTTATTTTACGGAATAATAATTCATCTTATTATTAACAGATTTCATTAGTATTTTAATTTTTCACTTTAAGGTAGGTCCGTACTTTCAGGATTTTCTGTCAAACTGTTTATTTTTCGATTTGAAAATCTTGAATAAGTCATAATCTAACTAAAACACCCATAAAAAACATATCTTTGCAGGTTAATTTTCATGCAACATGTCTCGGAGTATATACCTCTAAAAATTCAACAGCCAATATTCAACATGTTGAAGTTTTACATCATATTTTATTTATCTATGTACCAAATCACATCCAATTATTGTTAAAACTTAGGAAAATCATAAATATTCATTTGTCAAGAAAATATTTGAAATTTCTATTTGAAAACACTAAAAAATTGATGTTGATTCTGTCAAAATCTTTCAGTGAAGAAGCTCAAAACATCTTTATCTTAAATATTCCTCAAAATCTTATATGTTTACATGCTATTTTTTCTTTATAATTATTTAGAATTATATCTAAGGAAAGCAAAAAAACATACTTTATTATGGTTGGCCAGAAAAATTTTACAAAACAGCCTTTTGAACACCTATACCCCCGTCTTTGGAATATCTATTTTTTTCAATTGTTCTTTGCAAAACTTATAAAAAAAGTAAATTTAAAAAGATGATATAAGCTAAAAATTAAAGATAAATAGATCTCAAGTTATATTGTTAAAAAAAATGAAAAAGCTTTAGGTACATAAATGCAATTAAGAATTCGCTGTCTGTGTATGTACTAAATTACATAAAGATCCTATGGAAAGAGTGCAAAGTGGTTATTCCTATAAATAATGTATATTAAATGTTTTGCGTACACAATGACACTATAATAAACAAATATAAACTTGCTACATTATTTTCAATCATCAAAAAAGATTTCATTTCAATAGACAAGGATAATCAAAATTTTATATTGGTGTGTAAAATTAGAACCGGATCCGTAAAAGTGTGGACCTGCCTTAAATGGATTTTTTTTCAAAAAAAATTAATTACTATAACTTATACGAAGTTTGATGTCAAAACATGTTTATTCATTGATAATGAGAAATTTGTGCATAATCCTTGAATGAACACATTTTATTTTATAGAAGCTTTTTATAACACGGTAATAACATATTTAAGGAAACGACGTAATATATCAATTTACCAAGGGAAGGAACTCCTCCCTCTACGTTTCCATCACACTGATTAATGGGACAAGGCTCTATGAATTATACAACCAGTTCTCTGTTGCTGATGAAACCAACAACTACAGACTTTTTCTTGGAGGACCAGCTACCGGGACACTGGGTATGTAAACGGAAACAGAAAGTTTAAATGAAGATCAATAAGGAGAGAGAGAAAAGAGAGAGAGACTCTATTGTTATGTAAGTATTGGGAGGAATACGTAAATATCAATGTTCCGCAAGTGCAATAAAAAACCAGTCTATGAAGTATGAACCTTGCTTTTTTTATGCCCAGAACTTCATTATTCTTGTTTACATTTTTTAAAATCTTTAAAACTCGTGTATCTGATACAGAGAACATCATTGAATAATCTCGACCACTGCAAAAACATTGTGTCAATAAGTTAATTTTTATATACTGTGTTGAAGCAGTGGTAAGGGCGGAGATACTCTAGAATAGCAAAGTTAGATACTGAGCCTTACGTCGCGGGGTCGAATCTTACTATGGGACTTGGAGACCGGTCCTTCGGATGAGCCAGTATATAAACAGAGGATAAAAAATTATTTGATTCAATACTAAATTTCTTATATGTTTACTTGTAGGTACCGTTGTCAGATACAGAATTCATTCATGAAAATCGATTGCAGTGTTCAATAATAATTGAATTGAAAATAAGTTGGAAAATTTAAATACATTCAATTACAATTTCATTTTTGAAATTATTCCGCCCTTGTCTTGAACATATATAATATAGATTAAACAAAAGCAATACAACTATGGAAAAGAAGTTAATCACTTAAAAATGCAGAATTCTTAATGATAAATGTGCCGAAAAAATGGAAAAACAATATTGATACCTGTACAGTAAATCTTAAGATATGCAAACAACAAAAATTAGAATGTAATTTAATAATAGCTAGCGCAACAAGCTTAATAGACTAACGTGTTAGAACAGAGATAATTCGAAATATAATCTGTACATACGTCAGGCAAATATTCCGATAAACAAATTCCCAGAGTTCCTTTGCTACATGTACCCAACGCCCTTTGCGTGAATAAATAAATAATTGATAACGTAAAGCATAAAAGGCTTTTAGTTTGTAGAAATCTTTAAAAGACACAAAAAATAACTCCTCAATGTCTATCGACAAAAATTGCACTAGATCTATAGTTTCAACTAGACGCTCGGCTTTCTCCGTAAGCTCCGACGAGCTCCGTGACGTCGTATGACGTCACAGCTAGTCAAAATGTCTCGTGCCGCTCGATGGTTGAAGTTGCTTATCAATTTTTCAAATGTTTTTTTGATAATACAAGTGCGCTCGCCCTAACGGTCACACCGTAAAACATATTACTTATATAACTCTATCAGCTCATGTTATTATTCTTTATGTCATATTTTTATATGTTTAAAATATCCATTTTCAATGTTCAGGGGGGAAAAATTATATAAAATAAATCAAATAAAATTCAATTTATTGATATCACTTTGTCTGTATACAGTCAAAATGTAAGAAATTAAATGACAGAGAATAGAAGGAAGAAAAAAATACTATAACATAATTGCAAGCAATAAAATTTAACACGATTCAAAAGTGTTTTAATCTTGAAAACTGTATCTGTATATAAATGTTTCCTTTAGCTTGTAATTTAAGTAAATATTAAGTGATCTAATTGATATCGGTATCCATATCATATTTTTGTTGATAATTTTACTGGTGACGCTATGTTACACACAGTGAAATCTAACAAAGACCTGTCTGGGATGTACTTCAGTACCCCGGACAGGGATAATGACGGACGTAGGGGAGATAACTGTGCTGCTTACAGTACCACTAGAGGGGGTTGGTGGTTTAACAGCTGCCGCTTCGCCTTCCTTAACGGTCAGTGGTCCCCCGGCAACTGGGTCCATCCATGGTATCCGGCAGTGACTGATGGTAGAGAGATAAAAGAGACTTTCATGATGATAAAGCATCTTTGACTGTCTTATATGTTATTCATTGAAAAATTCGTATTGAAGTTTGAACACGTAATCCCTTTTATAAATGTGTATAGTAGATTGACATACAAAATCAAATACTTTTATGATAAATGACGATGGATTTTCTCTTGACACAATGATGTTGTCAATGTGAATTGACAATTTGATAGATATTATATTATTATGAAATAAATCTAATGAAAGTTCCTTTTATGTCCTGAAAACAGTGTTATAATCTTAGCATTAATCTTTCAACATATATAATAAAATTCATGCTTTTATATTTTTATTTTCATGTTATTATTAATATTGTAATATTAAATAGTATATGAATAACAAAGAAACTGTTTTTTTCTGACGCCATGAAGAATAAGGTATGGTTTCCGTACAAATTTTTCCCTGTGATTTTTTAGAAAATAAAACTTGTGTAAAAGCTGACAACTCATGCTTTCTAAATAATTGAAATTCAATGCAAAAAAATCATAGAAATCATTTTTCTCGCATGTGCTTTTAAATGCTTTTTGTAACGTCATAAACATGTGCATTTACCCGCATTTTCTTAAAAAGTTGAAGAAAACACTAATTCTGATTTAAATTTTCTTTCAGATAATATTGTCCACAGGCATCGCCCACAGAAAACTTGAAATATGTGATTTGTTATTGACTTTTGCACACAATATCAAAATAATTAACGTGAGCGAAGGTTATGGAACTAAAAACCACCCTTGAAACTGGCCATTTTGAAGCTTTTTCTGTTAAAAATAGAGAAATGCATCACATTAATGACGTCATGTTTGCAGAATGTTAAATCTTTATGCCATAATCAAAACTCTTTCATGCCATTACGTTTTTAGGGCGCAAGAAAGCTAAACCATACCTTTTTCTTTTCAATTCTGGCTTCTGCGAAAGGTCAAGGAATCGGGGATTTCAGTGAATCACAATACATGTTTGTAGTTTATATATATATATATATATATATATATATATATATATATATATATATATATATATATATATATATATATATATATATATTTACAGTAACCGCATCGTTATTCTTTACAATTCTATCGTGTTCTATCGTGCGTTTATCCTATCGTATCGTGCGTGTATCCTACCGTATCCTATCGTATCGTGTTTTCCGTTTTCCGTTTATCGTGTTTTGCGTTTATCGTGTAGATCGTTTATCAGGTTCTATCGTGTATCGTGTTTTGCGTTTATCGTGTATATTCGGAAACCCTCGCTTTTTATCTTTACTATACAAAGAAACTACTGAGCTATTTCGAGTTTCTTTTTCGTTTTGTTAAGAAAAATAAGATAAATTCAACCGAAAAAAAGAAAATAAAGTTTTATCTTTTTCATCAATATAAGAAAAATTAAAGCGTAGAAGAAAGAAAATTAATAGCGTATTTTATGAATGAAAAATTTGATTTATTATTAAATAAGAAAATGAATAAATAAAATAATTATATTATGGTAAAGCAGAGAGTGATTGTCAAAATTTAAACAGTGACTCTATTTTCCGGAAATGATATCATAAGTATATCGACCACCTGGTCTATTTTTTAAGGTTATTTATCGAATAATATGATTTATTTTGTCGAAAATAAATACTATTTAATATGATTTTCTTAAATGAATCAGAGTTACTTGAGAACGATTTTTGGTAAGCTACGATGTTCGCGTACAAAAAAGCAAAATAAATAAATAAATAAAAAGCAGGATATTGATATGTATCTTTTTATCATGCAATATTCTGTTTTTCCTTGTTTATCGTCTGATAACGTTACTAGTAGTAATATGTTTACGCTTCTGATCTGCATGTATGCACAATTATTTAAAGTCTTGATGTTACAAATATAATAAAACATAAGACATTGATCCAGATGATTTTAACAAGGATTTTGGCCGTGTACGTTCAAATTTTAAATTTATTTTTGAAAGCTAATTATAAATTCCTTGATATATGTCTAAATTAATAGAAAAAAATCTAAATTATAAAATATAATGCATGAAAATATTCTACCGAATTTATCACACCGTGGCTGTTACTATAAAATAGAAGTTTTTCATTAATTTTATCTGGCATTAGAGAACATGAAAATAAAATACACAGGGAAAAACATGATGTTTTTTAACAGCTTACCTTTTCGGCGTGGAAATAAACTGAAAATATAATCCATCGGGATGCCAAAAATCTAAATAAATCGAAGACCTTTCCTTCCAAGAAAACTGACACGTTTGTGTAGCTCTCTAATTAGCACACTGTCTTCCTGTGTGGTCAACCACCCCCTCCCCCTTCTTCCCTAACTGACACCTCGGCGCGTGTGTGTGATCACCGTCAACATACCTGTAGTGATTTCTCATCTGGGGTCAATTAGTAACCTCGAATACTACCTGGTTCTAATGAAACGCATCTAGTTATTTTCGGGATTTTGATCCTAACTTGTTTGAACAAACTTATCAAAGATTTAATTCAAAATATATTAAATAATTGTACAATTTATGGATTAAAAAATCATCTCATTGCTTGAATGTTAAATAAAAATTCAAATAAATCAATTTAATGAAATGAAGTCCCTAAACTCACTCCTCTGATTTATTTCATTTCGTACAATGTTTCCATTACGTTTATGTAAATAAGTCTTTTAATAAACTTAAAAAAAAATACTGCACTTATGGTACATGCACTTACAGAAACAGAAACTAAGCATCGCCTCAATGCAATTATGAGACTTCATCTTCAAGCAAAAACAATATGCATAAGTATTTATCATCTTAAAAATATTTAACTCACCCCCCCCCCCCGGTTATTTTTTTAAGTGCATGAATATTTAAAAACATAATGAAGTTACATTTATGAATCAGAGCATAAAAGTTCCCTATCTGTATTGAGGTGACCACGTTTTTTGGTTTAACCCTGTATTTTGAAGAGATGGGAAGTGTGGGGGACGGGTATTTTAAAAAATAGGGGTACCTGTTTAATCTGGTGATTCTTGGATAAGAAATATTTATTCCGAACGTTTTACATGGAAAAGAATATTAAGTTTCCCCTTTACTTTAAACACATACGAATACTGACCTACTTGGGTTCATTTTTTATTGCGAACAATTTTTTTGGAAATTAAGTTTTAACTTTGTTCAACATGGAATGCAAAGTATCAAAATGT